AACATCAATGCAGGGCACTGGTTGTGGAGGCCCTAACATCAACACAAGGCGCTGGTTGTGGAGGCTGTTACATCAATGCAGGGCGCTGGTTGTGGAGGCCCTAACATCAATGCAGGGCACTGGTTGTGGAGGCCCTAACATCAACACAGGGCACTGGTTGTGGAGGCCCATACATCAACGCAGGGCACTGGTTGTGGAGGCCCTAACATCAACGCAGGGCACTGGTTGTGGAGGCCCTAACATCAACGCAGGGCACTGGTTGTGGAGGCTGTTACATCAATGCAGGGCACTGGTTGTGGTGGCTGTTATATCAATGCAGGGCACTTGTTTTTTCTTCCCTTTTTTTCACGTCTCAATTTAAATCTGTTGAAAAATTCATTTGTCGTGAAATATTTAAATAGCATTATGTCTCGGTTGTTCTTTCTGGTGTCTTTAAATATAATCAAATAAACTGTGATCAAGTGTGTAAGGTTGGTTTCTTCTGGGGAAAGGCATGGCATCATAGGTTGAATGGGTGGGCATGCTACAAGTACCACTGTATCCAGTTCTATACTACACACTATAGCTGTGCAGCTCCACAGCCTGGCATCCATGGTTAGGCTCCAGATGAATCTGCTTAAGGAATCCAAGCACACGTACCATGGCTACAGTAAACCAGCAGAAGATGACTTGCATAGAAGACCGGTGATTTGATGACATCCGGCTTGCTGGCAGCCTGCAAGCATATTACTGGCCTTACATTATGAAATTCAAGTCAACTGGCTCTTTTCAGAGCCAACCCATCCTCAAAACAGAGCTATAATGTATTATTTCTGTTGATTAACCCGATACTAACCCTACATAATACTACAAATTACTACTGGCAGTAAAATGTAGTATTCAGCCCTGTCGCTTGTAAGAGGACATGATTTTATTGTTCTGTGAAGCCATAAGATACAATAGATAAGACAATGTACCATACAGTGCTGTGGCACTATGAATGCATGGCTTTATTGTCCTCTGTACCAGTAACAATGGAAGTAACCTCGCCAGAAGTAGTAATCTGTAGCGCTAGGTCCTTCAGGCTCAGACTACTACTTAGTATTTTGTAGTACTGTGTAGTGTAAGCCAAACAATATGCTTGGTGGTTAGGGTTAATAAAGAAGAGATTCTTTTTTTCCCTTTTTTTCCCTCGGCTATAGTGACAATCGGCCATTGGCCAAAGTGGCCACTGGCTATCAGTTAAAGTGGAAACAAGTTGCATAATTTAACCCCTGCAAAAGAAGAAACCTGATACATGTAGGAATAACTGATTGACAGAATTTTTTTGACAACACAAAATAAAGTGACAGGAGCAAATACACCTAAAGCTTGCCTACAAAATTACTAAAAACTTAAGCAGCATGAGAAAATCCATAGTTTAGACAAGCAGGGCACATATATGTACAGAACTTGTTTCCAAGTTGAAAGTATCTCTCGCCTGAACAACAATTCCAGATTTGAAAAAGAATAGAAATAAAACAATTGTATTCATTTGAAATTGTTGATGATGGTGCAAGTTTATTTGCATTTTGAGCGAGCAATTGTGAAGTCTCACTGCCACTGACCAAGCTCAGCATGAAGGCTACAAAATGGTGTACAGCAGTTGAATTTTAATTGTGCCATATGGCTGGGTACTACTAGTTGACCGGGGTACAAGTACACCCATGTACATGTACACAGTTAACCAGGTTAACCCAGTTCACCCAAAATCTTGTAGACACAATCACCTAGTCCACAATCACCTACATGTAGTCTGTGTAACCATGGAGGTAGAATATGGTGTACATGTAACTAGGACCACAGGACCCTTCGAATCGCCAATTTCAGGTGACCAGGTCCAAATCAAATGATATTAAACATGTTAATCTCAAAGAAGCGAATCACTCGGACTAGACCAAACACCCACCCAAATACTGGCATTTGTAAACTTCAGGACCACCAACCCCAGAACTGTGGGGTCCGACGTCGGTCCTGTCGGTTCGCGTTCGTGGGAGCGGGGGCGGAAGTCGGACCCTGCAGTTCTTTGGCCAGGGGTACCGAAGTAGGCCTACATGTTTACAGTTTAGTCACAATTCACCGATATCCCCATTTTGTTTTAAATGTAACTGCAAATGTCACATTTTTAGTTTCTTGCCTGCGAGTGCTGACGCATTCTGGTGCAACAGACCAGGTCCTCAAAATTGGATAGAGAAAGGAACAGACGAAGACGAGCCCGGTACCATCGGCACCACTCACAGCCCCATGCGTATGCGCAGCCGCTCCACATCTAGGTATTAAACTTCTACCAGGCAGTGTGTACCGTGAATTCGTAATAGCGCCCTCTCTTGAGCATATTACAATTTAGTCATGTTGGTGGAACTGTCTCCCCCCCCCAAAAAAAAAATTCGCCTCAATTTTTCTCCCGAAGAGCTTCAATATTTCGTCAACCAGAAATTGAAAAATGGTGCCAAAAAACTGAAGAAAGGAACTTATTACCAGCTTCAGGTACTAGGTTTTTGTAAATAGCTGTTTGTCCTGCTCCTTCGTCCGTTGATCCAGTGATGTCGTTCTTTCACTAGAAGTAATCCAGTTGGGGAGAGGAGAGACGGGCCCGGGCTACAAAATTTTTTTTTTTACTAAAGCAAATGAACTGGAGCTCGAGCATGCGTGGATCCAAAGGGGTAAACAACCCTCGCCCTCTAAGATTCAAAAAAACAAAAACAAAACAATTTCGGAAAATGTGCCATCTAATTTACATAATAAAATTGCAATTTAGTGTGGATTTTGAAAATAACTTAAAATCTGGTTTCATTTTTGCAATAAGAAGCATTCGACTTCGTTTTGCAACCTTCAAATAAATGAATGTGCATTAAGTTTCATAAAAGCGGTTACTAATACGTGACTGGGATTTCGGATTGACGTATTTCTTGCCAATTACAACAAATTATTCGCTGAAAATCTGTCTTTTACCATGTCCCTTTGGAAGTGAGTATTCATTTTCATTTGCTATTGCAAAATATACATTCTATTTGATTAGAATATACAAGTTTACACGAATCATGACACCACTTTAATAATTAATGTCATGCTACTCAATAACGGTATATTTGTTATCAAACTAAAAAATTAAGGTTTCTATGATTGGAACGCAGCACAAGAAGGAAGGTTCCCTCAGTGCTGATGTTTACAGGTTTCCTACAACAAATTGTAGTTTCCCATGGTTTATTGCTATCATAAATATTTAAACATTTAATCAATCAACTAAACACTTCTAAGAATGTAACTTCTGTTGGCACACAAAAGCTTTCTAATTCTTGATCAGGCATACATTAAACAACACTTCAAGCGAAATCACCTTGTTCAACTTAAGATGAATGCAGGATTACAGAGGTGCATGGAGGTGAATTTTGCACAAAAATGAATGTCAATATACTAAACCAGTACATCAGGAAATTGAACGCTGACTCTATACGACTGAATGCACCCTCCTTGAAATGAAATTGTTATTTGTTAAATAAAAACGGGGCTTTGATTGTTCGTTCTATTTTGCTTGAAAACGAATGCTGCTATTACTAATTCATTTACACATTTTCCGGAATTGCCCGAGAAAACTTATAGTAAAAAATAAGTAAAATATGTGCACCAATACCATTGTAAACAATGTATGTCATGTTTAATGTTTCGTCTTCATTTCCGCTTGTCCGCAAAAATGCGACATTAAAAAAATCTCCAGCCTTAACCCCCCCTGGGAAAAATTCCTGGATCTGCCCTGTTAAACATGTGTTTCGAACTTCTGATCAGTTCAACATTTCAAGGGAAGGCTGGAAATCCCCAAGCCTGTAGCACTGAATCACACAACATCCCAACAAAAGATACATTCTTCTAATAACACTTTATTGCAGGAAAATCATGTTTATTTTTTAATTTTTTTTCCTGTCAGAAGGGAAAGTGTTTGTTTTTATTCTTAGTTTACACATTTACATTTTTCAATGGCAGCTTTTAAAATTATAACCTCAGTTTTACCTCTAAGGTATCGGCGAATGGGGCCCAGAAGGCTGGAACTCATGTCTTTCTCTCCTAATCTTACTTTCCTAATCTCAGTAAGGCGTTAGGTGTCCTAACTGAATATATTACACAAATGAATAACATTCTTTCGAAGATGACCATATCTTCTGACCACAAAACATGTATGAGAAACAAAGTTCAGAAGCTTAAACATGAGCTGGGTTCCCAGCTGACAAAGCTGACGAGCAAATTATATGCACTCAGCAGAAATTACTTGAACTGCTGTTGACAGCAACTGAAGGCCTCCTGAACTGGTAAGGAAAGTCATTTCTGCAAACCGAGTATTTCACCAGCTTAGACAATTTCTGTCAAAGCACTCTACAGTTTCATATAACAGACCGCCTTGTTTACAGGGTTTGAGACTTGACAGATTTGGTGCTTTAGGCAAAGCAAAGAAACCAACTACATGGAATAAAAATGATTTAATGTTGTATGACCAGATGAAATACCTGCAATTCATTCAAGTACAGATGTTCTGCGCTAGGTTGGGGACAGCAAAAATATTTGAAATTAAAATATGTGCGGAGCAGGGGACTTCAGGCGTGAGTAGAGAATATAAAACCGGGGACACATAAATCTGGTCAGAATTTATTAAAGGGGGCATGATAAGAGGAAAAGGGATGACAGGTGCAGTTTTGGACCAGAAGATTCTTTCAAAAAATGGGACAATTTCAAAAGAGGTTTGGGCACTTCGGCTTCATTGTGTAGTTTTAAATATTATAAGCAATTTCTCTGAAATATTAACCTCACAAAGGGTCTCTTTGTTGGGTTGGCTAGTTTTATTTTTATGAGAGGAAAACTCATCGGAAGATGGAAGGGGGGAGGTCTCAAAGAATCAATGTTTTATTAAAAATGAGAAAAAGGCAATGTTGGGGGGGATGTTATTGCCCTTCCTCCCCAAAGTATGTAAAAAGCCCTCAAATTTTGCTTTACTCTCAGAATGGCTGTAAACGGTTACACAAAAAAATACCCATTTTTGCCCCCCCCCCACCAAAAAAAAGTTTTGGCAAAGTAAAAGATCTGCTCTTTGAGAACTCCTACAACCCCTGGAAGCACTTTTGGAGCATCACTTATCCTTAGATCACTGCAGCATAGCATATGGGCAAACAACCTCTGTGTAACAAATCCAACATTTTTTGGTCATAGTTCACCTGAGTTCATCTGCACACTCTGTGCTGAAGTCCGTGGGCGTACAGAAACTTTCACAATGCATGTTTATGATGATTCTCATATTTCATGTTGTGATCCTGGCATTTCTCCTCTCTGTAATTGCAGTGGCATTGCTTCTTCACCTGAGGCTTTTTCAATATATTTTTTCACTGAGATGTTTTCATTTCTTTGACTACATGTACATGCATATTCTAGGCTATACATGTAAGGTGTCCTACATGTACAGCCTTTCCCTCTCGGTATAGTTTTCTGCCTAATTTTTTTGTCTTTTTAGGAGGGGGGGTTTAAATTACCATTAAATTTATGTCACAGAGTTGTGGTACTTGTGTCCATTAAATCCTTCCAAAAGACCAGTCGTAAGTAACGGTGAAAAATGACAAATGATTTCATCAAGTACAACACTGCCCCATCACCAACACTGTTCAGCTCTGTTAATTTTCTATATAGCCATTCTTTGTATCTCTAAAGTGTATATTTAATACCCAAGAGTGGTGTAATTCAGAGTATTTTAAGAAAAAAGGTTAATCTGAAATCGTTCAGCCCATTTCCCTCCTGCTTCCCAGCACTGGCAAACTGGATCATTTTGTTTTCATTCCAAACCTTCAATGTTACTTCTTGCTTGCCTATCGATTCCCAACCTAGATGGCAAAGCTTCCAGAGTGAACCTATGTGAAGAACATCTTGCCTTTTGAAAGCCCTAAGAGATTTCTGTGAATTAAACTCAGAGTGAGTAGTACAACTCTGCAACACTGCACTGTATTCAACATCTGCATGAGATTCTCCATATTTGATGGTTTCAAGTGTGCACAACACACTGAAGTGCTTTAAAGGCCAGAAGTCAAGTTAGTATCCATCTGGCTATATCACGATGCAATGGCTTGAGACACCAAACTTCCTGTGGTTGTGTGTGAGGGATCTTGATTCAGCCTTACACAACTACCACAGAAAGACTGGGGCCCAGACATTTTTCCAAGTCGGTTGAAAGTAGCCTCTGTTCAGGACTGGAATTTGTAACAACCAGAACCTCAGTTTGGAACTTAGCCATCTGAACATCATGACTTGTACATCATTTGCTTGTATCATTTGCTGCAACATCATTTTTGTGGATTGTTGTTTACATCTAAGTGTATTTTTCCTTGTACCTGGTGTCCTTGAGCATTCAAAGAGAGTTACTTAAAATCACGCAGTGCCAGAAAGTGGATATCGGCATGCAATGCAATAAAAACACATTCAAAATAGAACTGTCAGATGGTATAAGCTTCAGCACTCACTTGAAAAATCAAACACTGAACTTGCTATCATCGTTTCACTATACTTTATTTCAAAGTTACATTTTTGTATTAACATACATACATGTACAAATGGTTGACTTTCACACACAATTCCAATGGCCCAACACCATGGTACAGTTTCATGTTATGATTGACCGCCTTGTAAAAAAAATGCCGCATAAATTAACATACAGTGCTTGTCACTTTGCTTCATTTTACGGCCTTAAATCTGCCTCCAATTTAAAACAGAAAACAGTTTCAAAACTTTCTGATTCAGTGTTGTATTTGAGTTCATCACAAGTCCTTTCACAAGGCCAGTCATAAGTAACAAGGTGAACAATGACAAAAGAATGCTGTTTTCACAGCTCATTTATATAGCTTGTGAATTGGCTTAAGACTGAATGACTTGTGATGGACTTACAGGGACTTGTGATGGACTCAAATACAACACTGTTCTAATTACAACGATGTAACTTGAAGGCGTTTGTCAGACTTAAGTTTAAATGAATTTTACACTGAAACACAAGGGAGATGCTTGAAAAGCATTTTATACTCCTGACAGAAATTAAATAAACAAAACTGAAGCCGGGGATAAAACAATACTGTCTGTCTGGAAATATGTTTGAGAAGTTCTAGAACCAATTCCAACCTGTTCTGGAACATCCACAGATTCAAACTGGAAACATAATCATGCACACATCACACATGCATCCAAGTTCTACTTACTCTAGTCAAATCAGTCTCATTACCAATCTTTGCAACATTCACAGAACAACTCTTACCTACTGTACCCCACCTCCCTCCAAAAAGAAACATGCAAGATTTCATCAGCTAAGACTTTCAGAGTAGGTAGAGTTGCAGACACACTTTCCTGATGCACTGTACTACAATCATCAAAATATGTACATGTATATTGTTTTCAGCCCAAAGCCAGTTGTGTTGGAATGTTATAATCTCCTTGCTTTTCGTGGTCTGGCTCCATTGTGTGGTATGGGTGTATTATCTGTGATGGACACAATGTCAAGTCCTCCCATCTGTAAACCTTTAATGGATGCCTGTTAAAAATGAAATACAGGGGAACAAAGAAAAGACAAATTAAGGGATACAAATATTTTGAATAAGAACTTTTATAACAATTATTATAGCTTAAAAATATTTTGTTGGAAACTCAGAGCAAAACTCAAAAGTAAAAAAGTGTAAAAGTATCTGAAATGTGGTGAAAACCGGTAGCTTTCTGTCAGTGAATTTACTGCTAACTGATGAAAGGGTTATCAGGGGAAACAAAGAAACAGAATTTGCTCAATGTACAGTAGTTAGTAATAACACATAAATGGCTTTGTATAGACAGAATAAACATAATATTTCTACTAATTCAGGACAGTAAGGATTTGCTTCTAAACAGCGGCTTGTTACAGTGGCCCTGATCACTATTCAGATGTGTAAATTCTTAAAAAATATCACACATATTTCAAACACACAGGTTTTTTTGTGGAAATCAACGCATTGGTTGACAGATAATCCATCAAGGCAACAGCAACAAAAATATTTTAGATCTCTTGACGACAGATGGTTGATATACATCTCATTGCTTATGTTGGACAGACATGAAAGAGCAGAGAGAAAAATAGCAATCAGTTGATGAAGAAGCCTGCAACATGACACCATGCTTTTAACTTTTACACGGCTCCATTACACTCTCATTTTGCTAAGTATAAAACCCTCAAAATTGTACAGAGAGTGACTCCTTGGCAAATCATTTGGATATCCTCAGCATTTGAAAGTATGAGAAATGAAAGAAACCTGTCATTACTGTTGTCTTTAATACAAAAAAGTCTGTTATCTTTTCAAATAATTGTGGGGGCATTTTTTAACTGAATATTTTAAAACAAATTTTTGTTTTGTCTGTACTGACGAAAAATGGGATTAAGTGCATGCTTTATTTTTAGAATACAACAGTAACCTTCAAATACTTGAAGTTTTCATGTTGATGATGTTTTACTTAATTGCATCTGACAAAGTAGTTGTCACTATGAAACCTCATCCAGTTATTACCTTAGTCTTTCAGTGCTACCTCAATTTCCACCATGACCATAAAGCATTTTAGTACATGGCTCTCAAACTTCACTTTCTTTTTTTCATAAACTTCCTTCACAACATTTTTACAAGTGCATGTACATGCATACTTTAAATCTGCATAAGGGAAGTTGGGGATTGACATGCAAGTGAAGGCATATTTCTTTTGCACCATTTCCCAGTTGGCCACAAATTGAGCTCTTTGCACTGGTGAAAACAGTAGAATACATGGGAGAAACTACTTAAACAAAGAGAACATAATACTCTGGACAGGCCCTAGCAAAATTGGCACAAGAATTGGCATAAGAAATGGTTGAGAATCTGATTTTTGCTTACTACATAAGATTAGTGCAATTTAACATATCTCTATTCTTTTCTGATCCTTCTTTAAATTGCATCAAGAAATTTGGGATGATTCTCCAAATCCAGGAAGGTACATCCCATGGCATTATACAAGCTTTATTTGAAAATTAAGTCCCTTTGGCAATTTAAGAATGTGTTACTGCTCTCCTGTACCATGAAAGATGTTTGAGGAGTTTAGAAGATTCCTTGCAAGACTGCCAAGGCAGTTACAGTTATGTCTGGTTTTGAAGAACACATGGGCAAAGTTCAGAGCCCACACACTCTTCTAACCTGAGTCACATGCCTCAGATGAAACTGCTGAAAGTCAGTCTAACTTACCCACCCAGTAAACATCACACGACTTCAACTGCTTGTGGAATGTTACTTTGCAATGAAGTACATCTGTATGCCAACTTGTACATGTACATGTTCTGGTGATTGGAATACTACATTGTATCCACCTTCTAAAAATTCTTCTCAAGATGGTGTCCCTTGTTATTTTTCACTTGTGTGCATTAGTATTTGATAATATTTTCACTATCACATGACATCACATGACAGTATCGCAGAGCTTGGAATTTGGCACACAGCCATATTCCTGTTGGACTGGGTCCAACACCAAGGTAACAGATGGATTTTGTACCATAACAATTGCTATTCCATAAGATACCAAACAGCCGTCAAAAGATTTGTGTTACTGTAAATAAAACTGATAACTTTAAACTTCACATCTGAACAATAGCACTTTTCTTTATCCTTCCAATTCCGATCAATACGGAAGGGACAGATACTAGAATGTGTCAAATCCTTTGACATTAGTTTGTTGAAAGGAAGAACATTTTCTGAACGGACAATCAAATTAATTTAACTGGATATTTTATTTGGGACAAAAATGTAAGGAACATATGTTTCTGGATGTACACATGATGACATAACTGTCAAACAATGGGCAGTATTATAGCAGATACTGATGATACATGGAAGCAACAAGCAAATACTATTGTAAGTCTGCCAAATGCCTTTCACTTAACAAATCACTCTGAAAATACAAACATCCCTTCATTAAACTCTTCACACTACTGCATTTCTCTGAGATGTCTAGTAGACCTACCTACATGTATAACCAACTACATGTAACATCAGTAGTATTTATTGTTGGTATTGTTTGGTGTGGAGAAAAAACTTTCACAATCTTACATTGTCAGGACCTCAACTCAGGACATTTTGCTTCAAGTGCAGATTTCTTACTACTTGACCACTGATTAATTAAATGTTAGTGAAGACCATTACATGTACTAAATGGAAATACACAGTATATACATGTGAACACAGCATGGGGGGAAAAGGTACCGGTAGTAAGGTGAGAAATCCCATCTGAATTAATGAGCTACTGTCTCAGATATTTGAGGATGAACCTAATTTTAAAGGAAAAAAGTGGTTGTTTACTAAGGAGGAAAAAAAGTATTATGAAATTGAAATGCTTCAAATAAGTGAAAAATTATTACCTTTCAATCATTTCAATGTTTTTAACAAATTAAAAACCCTCCAACATTAGTCTGAAAGTACTACAAAGACTTGTTCCAAAACATCGACACCCCCGCCCAAATCCATTACATTTTAAACCAAAATTTCATAATCTGTAAAACTACATCTTCTGACATTTTCAGAGATAACAAGTCTTAAAAGGTTAAACCACCCCAAAAATTGCAGCAACAATGCAAGTGTTTCTAACTGAATTTCCTGGCTGTAGTCAATCATCTCTGTCCTACTCCAATCATTCTATCCAAGCCCATAAGCCCTCACCTGTCTACCTGGACCAATCCCTTTCACGATAACCCTCACTGTCTTCAGCCCCTTCTCCAGTGCTTTCTGTGTGAAGACAGAAAGGCAAAAGAAACTGAGTTAGCATCTCTTTTGCAAAGTTGTGGGGAAATACACTTGTCATAACACTGACTTTGGGCCACAAAGGTTTTGGAATTGAGAAATCTCCCTGTAACTTGTTCCTAATTTATTCACCTAACAAAAACTTTCCTATCATGTGTTGAGGGCGTACCCTTCCCCTCACACACAAAACAACAGTATCCATCTGTTAGTCAATGGCAAAGAGTTTAATGATTCCAGCGATCTGAAACATTTGCATCCAGGTTGGTTCTCTTGCTCAGCAGGAGAGGACCAAAGTAATATTCAAACAAGATATTGTCCTGATGTTTAATTTCAAGGCTATGCTAAGTACACAAAAATGACGAGCACCAGAGAAGCTTCGAAATATGAAACCAGCAAATGAATTCAATGTGACTGTCCACAATTAGCGAACTCCACTAAATTAGCAGGGTTCATACACCCTTGTAAAAAAAAATATTCCAGGATGTTTCACGAATTCCAGGACTTAATTCAGGTTGGATTAATTATATCAATAGAATACAATAGAAAATTGTGAAGTTAAAATATAACAATGTATAGAAATCAAGCAGCACAGCGATGATGACTTGAGGAGTTTTCTGACAACTGGACCACAATGTAAGCCTACACACAACTGGCAATCAGTAAAAAACAAACTTCCCTTAGTCCATTCAACTTTAAAGTAAAAGGTTCGACACAGTCACAATTTACTTTCACACTGAGCTTTATTAGTTTATAATGATTGGAAATAGTTAATTACGTATTAAATGAAGTACATGTACATAATGATTTCATCAATATATCCACAACACAGTTCACCATGCAGCTACAATAAAAATGAAGGTACATGTACTGGTAAAATTTTACAAGAAACTTTAGTAATAATATCCTTGGTGCCCCACACATGTAAAATAGAGAGAATCACATTGTGGGCAACATCCCAAATTGACTTCGCTCACAGCGCTACGTGCAGCGCGGGTGTGTTTTTGAGTGTGTTGACCGCGCATGGTGAATAATGTACAACTGTGTTGCGCCACACAATAGCAACAATGTACGCAGGGACGGATCAATCAGGGTAATACCGGTATTTCGATCACAGTTTATTAGATCATTTTTGTCTCATTTTAAAAGTAATACTGATTTTACTGAAGTTTCCAGGACTTCTTTTAAAAATTAAGCATTTTCCAGGACTTTCCAGGATGGGTATAAAATTCTAGGATTTTCCAGGTTTTCCAGGAGGCGTGCAAACCCTGATTAGGTTGAGGTCTATCCTATTGGTATGTGTACGTATACATGGCATGTATGTACATGTACATTACACGACGTGCCTTTGAACAGTATGTTTTGACTTTCATGTACTGCAGGTACATGTACCTGCAAGAGATATCGCAAGACAGAAACATGACTTACAGCGGCAGCTGAGATGCCAACAGTTTGAGCTGCTATCGTTGTTCCCTTCTTTGCATTTTTGAACCCTTCTGCTCCCTGTATCAAAATAAAGCAAAGAACAAAAAGGTTTAAAAACTAACCTAACTCCCTCAGAAGACCTTCAACAATTGTGTTGACAGTGGATGATTCCAGACTGTTTGAACTCATTATTACATGCACAAATGGATAAAAGCTGAACTCAATCTAGAGGTTTCCAGGTGTAGCTTTCCATAGAGTTGAAGGTACCCTCAGGACGAATATTTGTGGCCACCAAAATACATCAACAAAGGTGTTCACATATTTTATTCTATACCAATTAAGTAATAACAAAGTTAACTGACAACACTCCAAACAGAACAAAGATAAACATACTTTTTCAACAAGTTAACACAGAAATTGATCAAACCCATTTACAAAAGCTAAAAACGAATTGTCTGACGAGACAAAGTTAAGACACAGCTGGTAATCAAGATTTTACAAACTGATGAAATAGAACACTGAACAATTTACATGCAAATGATTACAACTATAGTAAATGAAAAAAGAAAACCGAAGTACTGATCCACGTATTCATAGTGAGAATGCAAATGCATGCTTCTTGTCCAAAAGTAACAAAGAAAAAAACCCCGAAATAAAACCACTTGTACAAGATAAACAGCAAAATGAACACAGACGGTTGCTCTGACTGACAGAAAATTGTGTTACAAGTAGTTCATACTCAGTATGAGAACAACTAAAAGAAGGAATCTGACATAATGAAAGACTCAGGTGAACTACACGGACAGATTCGTGTTTCAATTGCACAAACTCATAGAGGGGACATCTGTGATGCAATCACACATTTGTACCATGTAAGAACTGGCCCTTGTATGGAAAATTCTCTTAGTTTGCTATAGTAATCCGCAGTATACTTTTGGTGTGTACAAATATACACAAACACCCCCGAAACAAATCCTCCTTCCCCCAAAAAAGAAAAGAAATGAACACTTTACCAAATGCACTTGTTTTGTCTTCTTCTGGTACGACTTACAAGGGCACATGATACATGAAAACAATTTTAAAAACCTGTGCCCAACTTACACCAATACCCTACCCACTTATTCCGTTCTACTGATTATAGAAAATTTCAATATCAATAATTTCTGCAAGAACCTAGCTACTTGTAGGATCCATTTGGTAAGAGCTGGAATTTTTCACAAATTCAATCACTACATGTACATGGGCATCCAATCCACACCAAATTTAGAATCAGGAAGAACAAAAATGAATAAGACAACATTATGAGGCCCTTCAAAATGGGCAATTAATTTCACGGTGCGGTATATTCCCCACACAGAAAAAAGGAAACACTCACAATTGTGTGGGATGTACAACAAACACCACTGCCTACATGGGAACCAAACTGAATCATAAATTGGGCTTCCATCACTCACTGCATCAGACCATGAGACCATCACATGCATATCCATACCTTTTCTTTAAAAATCATGGGGGCAGGGGCCCACACAGAGTCATAATGCAGCTTGTCATAACTCACGTCACTGCCGTATTTGCTGGCTCCACGAAGCCAATTATATTAACTAGGTCACGGGATCTATTCCTCATTAGCTGCTCCGACGACAGCTAGGTCATAAATGGCACTCGCGCAATTTGTTTGATGTGTAGTAGCTATTTGGGGTTGATCTCATGCACCAAGTGATGTGTAAACTCCCTATATAAAAACAAACACATATAGTGATCTCCCTCTTTCCAGTAGATTTCATTAGGGCAGTCAGAGTCACCCTCCAATTTTCTGTCTCCATTAGATATCTCCAACCTGACCATTACAATCACAACAACATCCACCCCTCCAAAAATCCAATAATGCAACTGTCCAAGCTTGTAAATGGGTGAGTGTAAAATCCAATTTGTTGGCTGATTTGTTGTGAATGCAAGTGAACTGGGCTGACACCACTAAATAATGGTTACCCCAAACTGTACTCTACACATAGATGTATATGTAGGTTTAGTCAGAAAATACATGGAGCGATCTACATCACACTCCAATTACAAAGTGCAACGAAAATACTTGCTTCAAAACTGATAAATGAAAAATGATATGAAATTATCCTGCTAGTTATCCTAATTTTTTTAATTTGGCAGTAAAACTGAGAGACGTAAATGTATGTGTATTTATACGGGATAATATTTTCAAAAGGAAATGCCTCTAGTGGTGGTAAGTTGGTAACTATCCAAAACCTACTAGATGAGGCTAAGGTGTTTTTGGAAAATAAAATCACCATTTTGATCATCAAAACAAACAGAAATGTTTGGCATGATTGACTTTAACTAACTGACAACTGTACATCAGATTGAAGGAAATTCAACCTGCTGAAAATACAATTCTGCACAAATTTCACTTTTAAATTGCACTACATTACTTTATAACTAAGACTTAAAAGTCGGTACTCCATGAATTCAAGCACTGACATCCAGCAAACTCAATGTAATAAACTTCTCCAAGAAAACTGTACATGACACAAAACAAATCAACGCCATATGAACACATGACAAATCCAGCTAACAAAACAGGAAGTTTACAGAAAAGAGTGCTATTTTGGAAACTCATGTACTTATCTGTTCTTTTTTTCCCTAGTGACGCCAATCAGACTTCCGGTAAAAAAGGCAGTTAAGAGCTCAACTTCCATAAGAATCTATCTAAGAGATACTCACACAAGTAGTCCTTGTGTAGCTCCTTCCTGAAGGGTTGATGTGAGGGAGTCAAAAGGCGGGTTGTTAGGAGACAAAAAAAGGGGAAAGGATAAATTTAAGACAGCTGTGCAATGTTATGTGATATCAGTATCAAGCCATCGTGACATCATTTTGAAATGTCCTGATAGATTCTGACAGTTTGCATGTTTAACCTAACACTGTCCATATTACAAGTACACAACATTTGGAATTTGCAAAGGTACAGCAAAGCAAAGAAGTAAAGGGACTACCCTACCACGAATCTCTTTGTACATTCCAAAGTGAACAAGGACCAAAAAATTGCTTAAAATGAAGTGCCTTACTTTACATGAACACTGGTTTATGCATGGCTCCATAACATTATATAACAATATTATTTTTAAAAGAATTTTCTGGATAAAATATGAAATGTTGAAAAAAAATACACGTATGCGGTACTTGTTGGCTTGCTGGTACAACATCGGTAACACGTTATACAGTACACCAGCCTAGAGGTTGCCATGGAGAGGCAATTTCTGAAGTCGGAATACAACAAGTCAGTAGTCAGTAGACAACTTGAGCAAAGTTTGATACATCAGGGAATTCAAGCACTCTGAAGAAGAAAGGATTAATTAAAACTCTGAAGAGCATTTAGGAACCATTCTCACCCCCATGCTCTTTGAAAAAGAGCCCCTCCATTGCAACTTCCAGATGGTGTATTGTCTTGTGAATCACCTACTATAACTGTGCTATCCAAATTTTCCAGCCGTACAATTAGTCTTGAGCATTTTAGAGTATTAACGGTTAACATGGGCATGTCTATTGTTGAGCAGTCTAATCAAAATAAGAATGAAAGAAAACTGTACCATTGGTGCCTTTCTTTAAAAAAAAATCAAATTAAGACACATGCAAGTACATTTAAAAAACAGCCAATAATGACAATGACACTCGTTGAAAGGAAGAAGGGATATCGCGTACGTGTACATGAACATAAAATTGTTCCCGTGTCATTCAGCTTACAATCAACCACTGCCTTTACTGTCAAACACTTTTGAAAAATGTCATCCTTTCTCCACACTGCATTAATTCCATTCAATTACACCCTATGTCTTGTTTTTTTTACTACAAAGCTTCCTGAATCGGGCAAACTTCAGAACAGTCCAAGTATGCTTGCACAAAGCAACTGCACAATCTTTATATTAGGAATATGATGTCATCCTGTAGCTTGGCTTCACAAACCATAATGCATAAAAATAGAAGTGTGTGCTAAACTTCAGAAGCTTAAGAAAAGTAGGGGTCATTTTTCAGGTTAATCTGAAAATTCCAACTATTTTTACACAACATGCTACATGTACAAACATGACAAAGAACCACACAGTGACTGCAATGTATGCATCAGAATCACGGAAGAATGAAATAGGCCAACTAGAAAAAGACACCATGCAGGAAGATTGACCATGCAGCGGATATACATACATGTAGGACTTAATGATTTATCAAAGACTTACGTCCGGTGTGATCAGTGATGTTAATGTGGGTGTTGTTGTATGTGGCTTTAATGTGAATCACAGGCAGCTCGTAGTATGGGATTCCTCCAAATATAAGATTGTCTGTTGTGGCTGGCGGAATGTAGGTTTTCCTGTAGAAAGGGGAACAAATTCTCTGTTCTGTCAAAGTGAAATACATTGCACATGTATGCTAATAACAACAACATACAGACAAGGAATTCTAACACTGACAGACTAATATTTCAGTCATTACACACTTGATAGTGCTTAAAATGCTCATAAGTGAGACCACTAGATACAGTGTGTAAACATGAAGTAAACCAATTCCCTGTGAAAAAGACATGTAGTTATTCCTCAATAGTAAGATGGTCATTTTGAAGAAATGTTATGTTCTAAAAACTGAGTACACAGTGTTTAATTTGGGACCAGTGTCTTACATGTACATGTACATGTACTGTGGAAATATAATAATGCAGTGTTTAACAACATGCACAATTTGGGACAATCAGTACCTACATGTACAGGTACATGTTATTGGTACTGCTTGGAATAGGCACTATACCGGCCCACAGGTGCAAGAATCAGTTTTATCAACATGATCAATGAGGATAAACACACTCACACCTACAGAAAGTTTAAGCTGGTGTGATATCAGGTGCTTTTATCCTGACTGACCTTGCCTCATGAAAATAGAAAATTGGCTTATAACGAACTATAAATATCTGCCCATACATACATGTACGTGAACATAAAATCTGCATGTACAATGTACATGTACCAGTATATACAGGTATACATATGCAGATGTACCTTGTCAATGGATTATATTTATATTGCACTGTTGCACATGTACTGAAGACACACAAAATCAAACTTGATACCTCATAACAGTGAAGTACAAAGGATTTGCCAAGATTTTACTGCATATCGGTACTAGTGGATTTGAGACAACACAGGTTCTTGGCTAACATGCCTTAGGAGATGCAGTTGGAACTCTATGCCAGAATACTGGTTGGTTACAAATGGCAGGTACCAGTTCCATTTTGGACGTTTGTAACCCCCAAATTTTTTACTTTCAGAAAGGACTTTTCCAACAACAAAACACAATTTTTCATGAATCACTTTGAATCAATTTGTTTTCTATGTCTACCGAATAACACTTCTGGTTGACTTTATTTCACTGAGTGTAGCAACGCATAGTATAATATGTCTGCTTTATGTCTGGCTTCTAGTGTGCAACAGTAATAAGAGTTTCAAATGTATTTGGAAACAGGTACCCAGTTCCATGAAAACCTGTAAAATCACACCCTTAGTACATTGTACCAGTACAACTGATTCATTGATTACAGGCTGCCAGTAACAAACCCACTACTACATGTGTACATGTACTCCAAATGAAACATGAAAGTCAACTGAATTCACGTAGTATTTCATGGTACCGGTACATTGTAAATTAATAAATATTGAAACATTCACTTTAAGTTGCATGTACAGCTGATTATAATTTACATACATGCAATTGTCATTATTATCCAATGGTTGAAATCTCTACAGTTTAGTTTTGCATGTATCTAAACACATACAATACATGGACATGTACTGTAACTTGAAGGGTGAAATGCAAACTCATAACAAATCATTATTTTTAAAAAAGGGAGTAAAAGATTTAATCCACAGAGCTTTCTCTAATGCAAATTCAAACTTACCTGTACCATGTAATGACTGAATGGTGCATCTCTGTATTACATTATCTATGTAATTTATATTTAATAGCCCAAATGTACAGTTATCGTGATGCGCTAAAAATGCTAAGTTTAATCCACAAACTAACATAAAGCTTAATTTCTTTAACCCTAACCCTCCCTAATCCTTTTCTGCAAAGTGGAGGAATTCGGAGGATTCAGGGTGTATGGCAAAAGTACATGGCTGATTCGAAGGATACCATACGTGAAGGTCGTGGATTAGACCTTATATTGTTTGTGCTTAGTCAAGCACAAGTTCAGCCCGATATTTCTTTTGAATCAACTGCAGAGCTCAAGAGTGCCATTCACATTGCCTCAACATAGTGACAGGAATTACTGGAGGATTTTGAAGGATTTGGGCAGTTAGGCACACTTCCAACTGACATTTTAAAGAACTGTTGGAGGATATTGGAGGATTTTGGCTGCATGCAATTTTTCATGTTGAAAATTGAAGGATTTCGGCGGATTTGGGATGGTTCCTTGTAAAAAGGCCTGGGAGGTTAGGGTTAATTTAAATGAGCCATATGAAGTTTCAAGTTTGAAGAACCAGTATGTTACTTATATAAAATAAAATTGCATTTCATCCCATCCATACATGTAGTACCAGTATATGCTGTCAGTGAGTACACAGAAGTTTTTTCAAAAATGAAGTTCAAAAGCACCCTACATAATGACAACATGTGTACATTGTTTGCATTAAATCACTGGAAAATGAAGTTCATGATCCTTTTAAAATTTCTCATTTTAGAGGAATAATGGTCTTGGATAATATAGAGGTACAAATGCACACAAAAGATTTTAAAAATACATTAATGTTTCATTTTCAAATTTCATAAAGGCTTACACCATCACTTGTTAACTGAATGTGGAGGCATTAAGTGAGAAATTGTTCTGACAAACTGTCCAAGAGCACTTGTTTTGTACAGTGGCAAACGCACAGTTTCCATCATTTTGCTCTTATTCATATGTTTTCTCTTTTTTAAACTTGGGCTATTCTGCTTTGTAATGAAAAGGCAATTGACCTTAATTATGTACAAGATAGCCATAATGAATTGAGAGCAGATTAACTTTTCATTTTGGCACAATAAAAATGAAAGCACTGAAATAAACCTTCACTGCAAGTTAATGGAATTTAGGCTGATGAAGAATTTAACATTTTGTGAGTAACTATATCTACATTTAAATGTTTAAAGCTACCAGTAAATAGAAAAACTGAAAACAAGGCATGGAATCCAAAGTAGTCTGGCATCATCCCATTGAAGAGAACACATTGAATATGATTCAGGGAACATGATAAAAAATGGCATCACTGTGAATAAGGTCTATTTGAACAGCTAGTTTTTCATTTTTGAGACCTTGTTCTCATCTATCCAAAAAAATTGCCTGGTGGGGGCAGATCAACAAAGTTATTAACAGAACACAATAATGAGTGAAAGCCATTCATTCTTTACAAAAATTTGCAAATAATGACAGCTTAACATCCTCAGACTTTGTTACAACTGTTATTAACATCTACAGACTCTCTTAAGTAACCACTGTTATCTCTCAGGCAAATGATACATGTAGGGGACCTACATTTATTCATCCACTAACATATTGCTTTTCCGTTGGTACATACATGTACATGTACGGGTACAACTACCAGGCTGATGAATTTTGTGTGAACACAGATGGCCCTTTTCCTAATTATGCCTCAGTCCTGTAAAATTTGCTATATCAATACACTGTGAGAATAACAATTACTAGAAGTCCAAGGTTTTTTTCTGATGGATGTTATGTCAGTGCACAAAATACAAGAAATTAAAAAAACAGAGGACCCAGTATGTATTGCATGTATATGTACATGTACATGTAGATATACATGTATGTTTAAACCTATTTTGTTACCAGGCATACAACTGTATACACGTACATGCAAAACTGCATTTCTTTATGAAACAAAGGAAGAAAAAATTGGGTCCATATGGTACAGCATTTCCAAATAAAGTGGTACATGTGTTTGCTGTTGCCCTATCCCATGGGCACTATACAATTACCAAGCCCTGCCCTGGTGCGTGCATAGCTAATAAAGTAAACCCAGGACTGATCCATACAACAGCCCATACATAATTCATAGTGTGTAGCGTAAAATGGGACATCTGACAGGAATATAATAATGGAAACATGTGATGCCTCAGCCTGTTTTAATTTTCAACTATTGGGCACTTATTGCAGGGATATCCTTAGACAAAAAGAAACCAACATGCTCAAACATTGGCTGTTTTGCATTTGGGTACATGAAAAACATTTGATCAAGGTATCAGACTGGGTTGACAAGTGGAGGTGAGAGTCCATACAAGATGCAAACACAGACTTGTTGCCATGTTCTTCCCACATGACGATTTTTCTCCCAAGTGAAAACGTGATATGCAAAGTGAATCCATTGAACAACAGCATAACGTGTTCAACATAAGTAGCCATTATGCTACCCTGAGTAGGAAATTTTCAATTACTCTCATGTGCAAAAGCAGTGGGATTCTGTACCTTGCATACATGGAAGAGAGTGGTGAGGCACACCCCAGTCTTCTTAGCAAAATTAGGGAAAATGTGATTATTGATCACATGTTATTGAATTATTTATTCTATTAAACGGTTGAATAGAACTTCATTTCACCCGACTGGTTCCCATCCCTATTCCCTCGTAAGAAAAAGAAAAATAATGTAGGGAGAGAAACCAGTCTAACATTAGATTACCATCTACTGTACATGTACCAGTGGGTAGCACTTCAGAGACTAATCTGTTTCACAAAATGACGGAGGTTTATGAGGGAGCGGGACCCATTTGTTCTAACAGAAGAGGATGCAGGTATTGTACAAAAAAATTATGAATGTTTCGCATTTGTGTTCACCTTGTGGAATCAAACATTTCATCTGTAACTTCATGAAATATTCTTAACCACTTCCTGCTGCGCGACCTGTTTTCGAGTACATAGGCTTTATATGCAGAGCCAGGGAGCTCGGAACTGGAACAAAAGAGTTGGGCCTTATAACAAAAGACTGTGCTCAGCACAAAAGACTGAGCTGCTAGGCATTACCAACATTGTTTCGCTCTCAATAGTGGAGATAATCCAGACTTGTTTTTAGAGAGAATGGATTATCACCAGGGACAAAAGCTCTCCACCACCGCAGCGATGAGCCACACAGCACCGCTGCGCGCTAATCTGGCCCCTATTGAAAAGAGGTCAGCAGTGCACTGTGCCGGTTTCGGGAACAAAAGAATCTTACGTAACACTGCACAATCTGGGCTCTTTTTATAATGCAGTAGGCCTGGCTGAAATATTCAGGAGTCAATGAAGGTTACCTGTCAGCTTTAGAGTAGTTCCAAATAGTCCTTCATGTGGGTATAAACG